GTTAATGTAATAAGTAGGAAAAGTACTTAGAACAAAGCGTGAAGAACCTATCTTCCTCAGCTGCCTCAGCCTCCTTATATAGTGTTCTTCCGGCCCATAGTCATGTGACCTAAAGTGGTCACATGTGCGAAACCAAATCATAACAAACTAGTCATGTGACCAAAGTGATTACATGCTCAAAACCCATGACCTCATAGCGAGGTCATGTGCAAAAACTCATAAGCTAATCATAACGCAATAAACAAGTGATATGACTCGACTGAGTCATATGCACGAAACCCATAACCTCATAACGAGGTCATGTGTGAAACATAAATCATACGTGCAAGGCTTACCCGCAAGGCACACTCGCAAGTCATACTCACTAGGTACACGTCCCATGACTCATACTTGAGCCATGTGCGAAAGCATCACAAATCCCACACATAACAAATCATATAACCCGAATGGGTCATATGCATAAAATGATAACATACCTGTGACTCATAACCATGTGTCATGTGAAAAGCTTTTCTATGCCAAGTCACGTTCGTGACATCTTTGCAGATATAGCCGTGGATAAAACTGATCATTTTATCAATAGCGAAGACAATTGGAGTCAACTCAGTTCGACTTAAGAACTAAGCCATAAGTCTAAAGACTCTGCTAATCGGGATATTACTATTAGAGATAGTACGTTTCCTAAGAAGAAATATCGTAATTACCAAAGAGGGTGTGATGGTTTTCAGGGTCCACAGGTGTTCGCACCTTGGAAGAAAACTCGACATTGTGAATTACGATTAAAAAAGTACATAGTTGTATGATAAATAGATGTAGTCCGCGAACACTCAGACGCAGAATATAAATATTGAAGTGCCTTCCAAGCTTTAGACATCATCAAGCAACGGAGAAGAGACCTTAACAGTATAATATTATTTTTAAGATTTTATCCTACTTTACCTACTTTACTTCGCTCCTAGTAGTCATAAACGAAACGAGCGAAGTCTGAGCCTTCCTAGACAATCTCTGTCTACAAAAACGAATCTCGATTGGCCTAGACAATCTTGAAGTCTATCAAGTTGTCTCCGCCTAACACAATCAACTTTGTAGATACACATGGCTAATACGAATGAAGGTCATTGACTCTACCAAGAACACTTAGAATAACCTCCAATGATACCTGTTTACCTACCATCAATACCTATTATCTATTGCTAGTGATACTGATCTCCATTTTACAGCCAGATTCCAGAAATAAACCTTGACTTCCCTTGGAATCAACTATATTATGGCTGCTCCTTGACATCACAAGACCAATAGCCAAGCTGAACAGAAGATCCATGAAGTTAAGACTAGAATTCTGAACATGATAAAAGAATGACAGACCAACTAAGACCCCGCCCTCACTGAGCTCGCTGCATATATCAATACCGGATGTTCATACACCCTAGAAATGTCTCCCTATTAGACAATCTTCGGCCACCAATACTCTCTCCTACCTACAACCAATTCAAGAACTCCTTAATCCCCACCTTACAAGACCACTTAAACCACAATCAAGCTATCCGGAATGATGACTTCCAAGCTGTTAAAGCTGCACAATTCTGAAGTACAACTACTGCTCAGAAATAACGGCACAAACATGTTCTTTTTCCAAAATGTAACTTGATTATAGTCCATGAGCACATGTTTATTACCAATATTAGATGCAGCAAGAAACTACAACCACAATGGTGAGAACCTTTCAAGGTTTTATCTTTTGATGAGCATACAGAAAACTACTGTATCCAAATAAATAGAAAGATGTATCACAACAATACCGCCATTTTTCATGCCTTCGCTGTCAAACACTTCTACTCTAATGACAATTCCAAGTACCCTGGAAGAACCCGCCGTTGGCCTGTGCCCATCATCATTAACAAGAAGGACAAATGAAAAGTTAAAAAAATTTGAGACCGCTACCTGTAGTATGGAAATGATCAATTCATGGTCAAATGAAAATGATACCCAACCAGCCAAAACAGCTGGAAACCACTGGAAGGATCAGAGCACACTCTGGACATGGTGAACAAGTGGTGGGAAGTAAACATACTAAACAGTTCTCTACCACCAATGATTAACTACATCACGACGTGCTAGACACTGACTATGTCAAAAACTGAGCCATGGCAACTTAAACTAGAAGCCAGAGATGGATTTTGAGCACCATACATTGAGTCAGAATTTGAAAGCAGCGATGAGGAGAATCAGGCTATGGAACAAGTCCTTGACAACCTCATCAAATCACTAGTTACTATCCGAATACCATAACGATATCAAACTATGTGGAACTCAATATAAGTCTGCAACAACAGCTTATTAGACAGTTATTGAACTACAATATTATCTAACTTGAAGACTACTTCGCTATCCTCTGCGTAGACTAGTGCCCTGATTGTGATAATGATTGGGTAGACACACAACATAAATCTGGTATTCTTGACTACTGTGACCTGCATTTTTTTGAGTCTTGATGTTTTCTTAAGATTTCTTCTTGTTCCTGGTATGACACTTATGATAAAGAGCTTATAGTAGAAACTGAAGTCTTCGGTTACTCAGACTCTGCGTTTCATGATTTTCAGGTTTTGTTTGTTTAAATACTTGTTTTATTTTAGGGAATGTAACAGGTACAGGTACTTGGTTATTGGTTTTATTTTATGTTTTGTTTTAAGTATCGCTTTAATACTTGGTTTGTTTTAAGTATTGTTTAATACTTGACTTGTTTTATGTTTTATTTTAAGTATCACTTTGATACTGGATTTGTTTCAAGTATCATTTGATACTTGGTTTGTTTCAAGTATCGTTTGATACTTGACTTGTTTTATGTTTTGTTTTAAGTATAGTTTTGATACTTAACTTGTTTTACTAAAGTGCATCATTTGATACCTTTAAGTAGTTTCATTCATGCTAGACATGAACAGATTTGTTTATTTAAAGACTGCCTGATTCCACATTGGAAAAGGCAGACTTCAACAGACAGTATTTTAATATACCTGGTTGAATGGTTTCTCTTTGTTTTCTCAGTACACCTTCGAAGCCTCGTTTAGTCACAGCTCTCACCTCCTCTCTGGTAGAGCAGGCCACTTATTAAACTATCATACATTTATGCGATAGGTGACTCGCACCTTGCGAACACGTTACAGGACCGGTGTTACAATCGGGGTACCAGTCGGAACTTTTGGAAGAATTGCCCCGAGACTCCTAATAGACTAATATTATGCACGTAGTTGACATAAGAGAATCACCCGTCAGGGTTACAGCGAGACACAATAAGGCTCCACGGACAACTTGGATCTCCTTAAGCACACTCCTGAGGGAGTTGAAATCAATGGCAGAGGAATGCCGCAATAAGCAAAAAGTATCGCGAAGCGTTATCTTGGCTCACCGAACTGTTGAGGAATTCGAAACGAGCCTGTGGGCTCACGATAGCTTTACATCAATCGTCGTGATTTACAGATTTTGTCATGTTTCCCCTCCTTTAGGAGAGACTGGTTTGTAGCCCCTGGCGTCAGATTGCTCCCGGGAGTGTCATACTCACAATAATTCCACCCGAGAACACCGGGGGTTGAAAGAACAGTCGGGTTCTTTGGGTAATCTAGTGTGAACCGCCTGGTCCAACCAAGAGCCCGGGTTGACCGAGCGAAGCTTGGAAGACCTAGCTTATGGAGAGGGGGGGATCAATCCGGACGCCCTGAGGAATGGCGAGGGGGAGAAGCGAGCACCAAGAGTATGATACGAAGGCTACGCGTCTGCTATATCTTTTTGAGCCAAGTAAGTTACTAGGCCCAAGGTGTACCGGAGGCATCGATAGCTCCGCTGCTCTCCGGACTGCACTGCGCACCGTTCTTCGGGACTGGTAAACTTGTCACGGCATTGATAAACGCTAAAGGTTGCGAGATTCCACACCGTGGAAACAACCCAGTAGCTCCGCCGTGCCTGCTAAATCCCACAGTACACAATTGTTCTCAATGGCTATTATGAAGTCCCCAATGAGTAATACTTTCCTTCTTATTGCAGATGGAGGTATGATATGATAAACTCAGCTTTACAATAAAGTCCCAGGTCAAATTGTCCATTTCGAGGGTTCTTTTTCCCCCTCAAATTTTTTTTCACCCATTCAGAGAACACCGCTCGATGCCCACGAGCATCTACCGAAACCTCATGGCGCATTGCTAATTCCGTGGATAACATAAAACTTTACACTGGCCTCAAAAATTAAAAAAGAACTTGGGGGAAATGTGGGGTAAGTGGGATGTATAGTATATCGTTGTACGTGCCCCACATGGAGGCGATACGAAACCCGAAGCCACTTGCACACCACTTGACAGAAACCGGTATAGAAACCGGTGCCCGACGAAACGTTTCTGTTCGGTACTTCACAAAGTGGTCGCCGCATACACAGAACCTCCACATGGCCTAGATCTATACCAAGACATGGCATAAGCATTTCTCTAACACACCTCGTAGCAGATAAGTTCAGTGAGTCTGGTTCTCCTAGTAACGACAGAGCCAGGG